TTGGCTTCAGTTGACGGCCAGACGTTTGTCACTTTGCCATCCATCTTATGGCTTCCTCTGTCCCTCTCTCAGTGTGAAGCAATGGAAACAGGATTTTTTTCTGCTGGTTCTTTCTTTCCACTTCTCTTTCATGTGCTCCCCCCACCTCTCTTTCTATCTCACCCTCCTGTTCTCTCCCTCCTCTCTGCTTGTTCGCCTTCTCCTCTCACTAATTTAGGCCCTTCTAAAGAGCGAGTTTGTTTGCAGTACGTTTGCATGCAACTGTGTAGAAAACTGCATCAAAGTGTAGACAGAAAGGGCACAATGAGGACAAGTGCAGTATATAGTTATAGTGTCTGCGTTTGCTTTTTAGTAGTGTAAGAATGTGCCTAGCCTGGGAGGATAAAACTCAGTTCAATTATTAATATACTGCAGAGCTTGATCACAGCCTTACCACACACACTCAGAGTGGGCGATCCACATCCACGGCAAAAGCTGTAGACAGTGCTAAAGCCAAGAACATTACCACTGTATATTTTAATGCATCATGTATACAATGCATGCTAATATGCTATTTTGGGGCTTTAGGGGTTTATTTTAAGGTTAAACTATAGCTGACACCTCTGTTCTGCAGTAGATCACAGAGGATATTTAAAGCACAAAAGCCATGTTCACCCTGCAACACTGAAGCTTTAAAGGTGGGGTAGGTAAGTTTGAGAAACCGGCTCGAGATACACTTTTTGTTATATTCCATGGAATGCTCTTAACATCCCGATAGCAATGAATATCTGAAGTGCTTTGACAAAAAATCCATAAAAAAATATAATCTCTGGAAGCCGTAGTACTGTAAAAAGCACGACCAATCATCTGAGCCGGCCCGGCTAAAATAACTGGATGGCCTACCTGCCTGTCAGCCTTCCATCTGCGCACAAACTTATCTTGTGCCCTCATTGGTCATGTGCGCGTTCGTGTGTGTTGGAGGAGGGGCTCTGTAAGGAAGTGGCAGATTTTTTCCGGATGTGTATTTTCAAATTCTAGCGCACTCGAGCTGGCTTCTCCAAAATGACCTACCCCACCTTTAAAATAATCTGCACAGTCCAATAACTGTTAAACTTTTCCAAAAAGTATGTCTATAAAGGAGAGGTCAATATACCTTCTTCCACAAAGCTCTTCATCAGAATGCAGGACACTCATTCATAGAGCTGTAGATAGAAAATCAAGAGAGTTACATTATTTATGAGATCCTATTAAGTAGGTCAAATTACAAAGATAGAAGAACGTATGCAAGCATCTAAAGATGTTGAAAAATATGTAACACGATCAACCCAAACTTAAAGTTTGTTTGATGGACAAAGAGTGTGGTGGTTGAATCATTGGCTGGACAGACAGCAAGGCTTATTTGCTGTTTAGTTACCTACAAGAATGACTTACTCTGCAGCTGACAGTCATTGTGGCTGGAGGACTTCATTGGAAAAGCCTTTTAACTGCAGCCTACAGACTGTCATTGTGACTAAGACACTGGGTACTGAATGACTTTCGTCTGCTAAATAGTTTACTGTTAGAATGACTGACCGACTGACTGCTGAACTGCCTTGCTCTCTTTATTGCTAAATAGCTGCACGATAATCATAGTGACTTACTGGCCAAATATGAGATAGATAGATGATTATGTACTATAATTGCTGTAATGAATAAATGAGTGAACTGATTGACCAATGTTGCTGACTGAAACAGGCTGCGACGGCCTGGCTTGCTTCTCTGGCCATCTGAATGGATGGCTCGCAGGCTTATTAAATGTCTCAGTGGTTGGCTATACCCCGTAACGTGAGAGTCTGGCTTTATACATGCTGAACTGATTGAGCATCTGGTTGGCAGCCTGAATTAATTACTTGACAGATAGGTGACTGTCCATGTGGATGCCTGTCTTCTCACTGGCTGGCTAACTGGCTTACATACCATGTCCTGTCTGCCTTTTTGGCTCCAGTGCGAAGTGTTTCATGTCTTATCAGCCCAAACCATTTGCTTCTACAAAGCCGTTCTCCCTCTTTCGCCCACCCGTTTTTCCTCCTTGTGTCTGTCTTTTCAGCCTTTTCCCTCTTTACTTCTCGACTTCTCTTTTTCTTTATCTCAACTTCACACTTTCCCTTTGTTCTGTTTCTATCTGTCTTCTATTCTACCTGTAGCTATTTCTATTTGTATTCTGATCTGCTCCTTCATCTCTCTTTAGTTTTTTGCAGCCAGTATGCATCACATCCTTCTCTCTATTGAATTTCCATCTACCTTTCCCTCCCTTTTTCTCCCTTTCAACCACTTAATCGTTGGCCCTGTTTCCGTCCTCTCTCCTTACCTGCCATTGCCATATCCTGACTCATGATGCTTCCTGCAAAACCAAAACCAAATGCATAAAAAAAGTTATATTATTATTCAGTACACGCACTTACACTCACACACATCATTGGCATTACCTTCACACCAAGACAAAGGCATCTGGGGCAAACTGATAACAAACCTTAAGGAGGCTTTAAAGTGAAACAGTGCCAGTGTTGGCAGAGCTCCCACTGATGTGTGTCTTTGTGCGTGTGTCTGTTTGTACATGAAGCTAAATTAGCTCAACAGAGTAGCTTACTCTAGTTTCAAATACTTCACTTCTAACATTGTTATTGGGGTTATTTTATGAAGAAGGCAACTGAGATGGTTGCGTCGACTTTGTTGTCACGAATTAGGTAAACGATTCGCCTTGAGATAATAGCCTTTTCTCATCTTTCAAGGGAGGGTCATTACTTAGGCGCAATCCTGATATGGGACACAATGTACAAACGATTGCCCTCCAGTAAATATAAATGAACCTAAATGATTGGTTCAACAATCTGGAAAATATGGTTGCTTCTTTGCCGAAAGTTAAATGCAGAATGGGATACATTGATTGTATACATTACATGTTGTAGAACGTTTCAGTTGTATTATTGTCTTTGAGTCCAAAAGTTGCTCAAAACATTACAGGCATGTGAGAATCATTCACAAAAAAAACCTCATAAAACGCACCGTCTCATTTTTGTTAATACAATTAGGGTCTCTAGCCTTAATATCACAACAGGTTGAAAACAATTAAAACGTTTGATGCAAATCTTACAAATCAAAGCAAACACGCAAAGCAAGATGAGTGTAAGAACTGTTTGATTTAGAGCTTCACAGTAAGTAGACCACAACCTTGAAACAAGCTGGTGTTGTCCTTTAAAGCTCACATATGTTTTACTTTGTTCCTTTTCCTGCGGCAGTTCTGAACAGTAGTCATTGCTACAGGATGTTAAAATATAAGAAATAATTGACTAGGAACTGCTGTTTGCTGTTCATTAACATTATGATTCATGTTGAGTCAATGGAATGAGCCCTGGGACCTGCTAATGTCCCTGATAATGTCATTTTTAGAAGAAATGTTTTTGTATGTTTTGACATTCAACCCAATGGGGAAATGTTTGTATTTGATGATGATGTTGGTGACAAAAGTGTTATTTGTCTCATGTGTGTGGTTGTTTTTGGAAGCAATGTATTTTGTTTTAACAAATTGTACTGATGACTGAATAATGGTTCATTAGAAATGTGGTAATGCATTGCTCCAGGCGGTATTTGTTTGTTTTAAAATGTGAGTTTGTATCCCAACCTTTCATATGTAAATTACTGACTATTATTATTTCATTTGTTATTTTTTTATGCGCAAAAGAAAATATGCATATCCCAGTTTTTTGTTTTTTTGACAAGTGCGAGAGTTATGGCTTTAAATCCAGCTTCTTTTTGCAGGTTGTGTTTATACAGTTTAATTTCCATTGTGGGATTCCTGTATTCCCCTGCCTGCTTTCTTGTGATATAGACTTACTTTCAATGTAATTCAACTTCTCGTATTGAAGATCGTTAACTCCAAATCTGTGGCAGAGGAGTTGTATTACTCATTTGCTCCTGTTTAAAAATGTCCTAAAATCCCCATTGTTTGAACTGTAATTGTTTTCAATGTTAATCAATTTCCTGAATGAAGAATTTAATCCAAAATATGTTATCTTTTATTGTGTTTTATGAACTTCATAAACCTTTTCATAGCATGGGAGTGTTGGATACAGTAAAAGCCTGTTTGATTAATTAGATGAGATTAGTCTTTGATTAAAAAGGCTTTGATAGCATTTTAATAGGCTTAGTTTCAGTTGGATTACAGGGCGAGCAGCCTCAGGCATAATACCATAACTCACTGCTCCTGATGGATGCGCTGTCACTCAAAAGTGTGTGTGTTTACTTTTCCTATGAATATCCTACGCAGGTGTGGTAATGTGTGTGCATGCTGTGACCATGTTTCTGTGTCATCCCTAATACACCCACAATCTCACTAGACAACATTAAACCTCCTCTCTGCTTTCATCTTTTTGTTTACTGCATGCATAGACATTTCTCTATCTCTTACGATACATTACCAAAGCTGCAGTTTCCCTCTTTTTCTCCTTTTTCTCTTTCTCTAAACACAAGTGTTGCACTGAGTCAGGTGCAGGTAAAGTCAGATGGAGGAATTAAACAAGGCACTAGAAGTCAGAAACACAAATAAAAAACATCTTTCTTAGACATGGCCTTGTAAAAAAATAAGGAAAACAGCTACATATCTATGAGGTATGCATCTATTTCTATACATGTTTGGGTGGCTGCTGTGTTTTTCTGACAAGATATCTGGGAGACCTCCTTAATAGTAAAAGGTGTGATTTCAGAATATTAATGTTATCGTCAAATGTCTGTTCTTCAGTTAAATCTGTCGACATTGCGTTGGTGTATATTACATAGCCATGGCCCTTTCTGTTCAGTTCGAAAAAGTAATATAAGTGTATTTTCAAACTGTATGTACCTTGATTTTTCTTTGTGCTGTATGTGTTTTCCCTCTGTACAATGTTCACAACTAAACTCCTTGTACATGTTTATTCCTGCTTTAATAATCGTTGCTGTCATGTTCCTCCAAACACTTTTGTCTTTCTCCCCTTATGCTGGCTTTGTAGGAGGGTCCCTATGTGATGCTGAAGAAGAACCATGAACTCTATGAAGGGAACGACCAGTTTGAGGGATACTGTGTGGACTTGGCCTCAGAGATCGCAAAACACATCGGAATCAAATACAAGATCTCCATCGTACCGGATGGGAAGTATGGAGCCAGAGATCCAGAGACCAAGATATGGAACGGCATGGTGGGAGAGCTTGTTTATGGGGTAAGTTTGGATGGGAAATTTTTGGATTTGACTGTTTACTCCTAATTGTTTATTACTGAGTCATTAGAGGTGTTTGTGTTGCAATGTCATTAGCTTAGGTTAATGTCTTTAGTGAATCAGACCTTGGGACGGGTCGGATAGAGATTGTAAGTGATGCCAATAAATGGCCCCAGATAAAAATAGAATAATTCTGCACTTTTTCTCGAAGATTTAAACAAGATAAACCACTGAGGCAACTGTTCAAACATTTCTAAATGTACTTTCTACAAAGTGTAGGACATTATAACATGTTCAACTTTCCAATATACTGTAATGCAATCCAGTACACAAAATTGCAAATTATTGCCTCAGAAAAAAATGTGTTAAAACAACACTTCTCTGGCTCAGAGTCAACCGAACTTCTGTAATTTCGTAATGAAATACTGCAGGGCTTAAACGTTGCTTTATTTGTTCTTCTGTGTTGTGACCCCACCACGGGCCATCGAGCAACGGCAGAAAAATGCTCAAAATAAGTCTGTCGCAGTAGAGGAACTTGTCGTGCAGAGATGCTTTGTTTCAGAGGGTTCACGTATATAAGTTGTCTAATAATGCCGTTGCCCAATGCGCTGTTTGAGATTTCACACTACCGTCTCGATGCAAACGTAACATGCGGGAGACAATGTCACTCTTCACTATGCGGTAGAGTGGAACTGGAGACGTTACTAGCAGAACACATCAGAATGAATTAGCCTCTAGAAGTCGTCTAGTGGAAGGTGACACAGCATAAAACCACTGCTTTGACCTATCAGGTTTATTTGTTCCAAACTCTTGCAGCCATATATGATGACTCTTCTTTCACATAGAGGAACTACTGAACAATGGCAACACTTCTCTGCCTCCTTTAAATATTATATTTGTATGTGATGTTTTTTCTGAGTATCTGTAACCTTCATCTACTTATCTAATTATCTTGAGTTCCTTTTTTCCTGATTTCTGTCTCTTATCTATTACATTTAATGGGTTGTGGACATTTCGTTGCACCCTTGTTACTTTTCCACAAAGCTTCCATTTTGCAGTTTATTCCCCTGGCATTGTCAAATCCTCCCGCCTTGAGGAACACTTGTCAGTTAATACGAGCCTCTTGTTCAGTTGAGACTGCAGACAAGCAGCTACTCAGAAACAAATACTTAGTGTGCTGAGTGAATCACGTTTTTGACTCTTCTAAAGATTTTGAGTGTGTGTGTGCACACAAATGTGTATGAGTCCTTGCAGGCTCATTTATATGTATATATATATATTATTTATATTATATGTTTCATGCCCAAGTATGAATAACTTCTCTGTCATCCTACTGGTATTCCTTCTACCCCCTTCTTTCTTTTTCCACCCTTCTCCCTCCTCCGCTGTGCCACTGCCCTTTCTATCCCCTGTTTTTTTATGTATCATATCTCTTTCCTTTTATCGTCATTCTTACACTTCCATCCTGCATGTCGAGGAGTTCACAGATAATTCCTCCTCGCAATCACTGTTCTGCTTTATGTCAAGTTACTGCGCATTACCATTTCCACTTTATATCCAAAATCATCTAAACACACTCTGTTTTTCCCATCCACTCTTGGCAGAAAGCAGCAATTGCTGTGGCCCCGCTGACCATCACTCTGGTGAGAGAAGAGGTGATCGACTTCTCGAAGCCCTTCATGTCTCTGGGAATCTCCATCATGATCAAAAAGCCCCAGAAGTCTAAACCCGGTGTTTTCTCTTTCCTGGACCCTCTGGCCTATGAGATCTGGATGTGCATAGTGTTCGCGTACATTGGAGTCAGTGTTGTGCTGTTTTTGGTGAGTGATTGTTGAACACTTAGAGTTGGATTGCAGCGCTGTAGCAATTTGAAGAGTTTTGAAAGCTTTAGGGATGATAGAGCAGATGTCTTATTTGGCTCACAGACTAAAATAATCTCAACTCGACATGCTTCTGATTGAGCTTGTAGACTCTTACAGAACACATTTCAATCAGAATTCAGTTTGGTTATTTTTACTAAATAAAGAAAAGAGGAGATGAGTCTTCTTTTCATGGAAGATTTCATGTACAGCTGGATGCACTTTACTGATGATATGATAACTTAATTATTGAATCTTCTGGGTACACCATGTGTGGGTTTTAAGTATTATTAAAACTCTCCTCAGCTGTAATGTATTTTTTCAGTCTTCTTCTATGCTGAAAAATAATTACATACATAAAGATGTCCTATGCAGAAATAGCATCACAAACTGCTCTATACATATATATACATTTGATACATGCAAGTTCACATATTCAAGAGACACCGGAGTAACTGAATATTCAAGGATGCCTCTTCCACAAAAGTCACAAGAAGCGTACCCTCTAGGCCTAGTGTGTGGTATTTAGCTGAATACAATTCTCTCTCTGGTTCATTCTGTATAACAAGAAACTAGATGTGTTTTGTACCTGCACCGTTCTTCCTTTCTAAACCTCGTAGTGATCTATGACATTTATTTCTTCCTCCTCTGTCTCAGGTGAGTCGCTTCAGTCCGTATGAGTGGCATGCAGAGGAACCAGAGGAGGGAACAACAGAGCTTGGCCCCACCGACCAACCTCCCAATGAGTTTGGCATCTTCAACTCCCTCTGGTTCTCACTGGGAGCCTTCATGCAACAGGGCTGCGACATCTCACCACGGTGAGTGAGGGAAATGGCGTGTGTGAGACAAACTAAGTACATTTGTGTGTGCGCCCAACTGAGAGAGTAAGAGATCGTTTTTTGTGTCTGTATGCAGGATGTGTGGGCTGGGGATAGCGTGTATGTGCACACAAAGAAAGATACGCACACTCACAAAAACATGGTGACAAGTGGGAAGAAAACACCTGAACATTATCCAGTGGTCTTGTCCGTATGGGTGTGCTCTGGTGGGAGGTCGAGCATTTTGCTAGATGTGTATGAATATTTAATACACCACTGAAGAGGCAGAGTCCGGCCTTATTTTTAGAATATTTATAAGAATATGGCATTTTATTATTGATAACCTGAGAATGCAGTTTATTTAAATATTCATGGCCATCATACTCAAGAGCTTTTGGGAGCAAATCTAAAGAGAAAAGCAGATAGGAAGGAGTGATAGACGAACAGTGGAAAGAAGGAAAAGGTGTGACATGCTGAGCAAAATGTGTGTGGTTGAGAGAAAAATTGGTCAGCAGTTCGTATTGTACTCAAATCAAATGGTTAGACATTCAGAAATGTCTTCAGTACGCAAAGATGTTACAGAGAGATTCTGTATACCTAACATGATCGTTTGCAAGAAGCTTGCTTGTCTTGACTTGGCTTGGAGGAAAAATAGTCCCTGCTGTTCTGATTTGCTCTACTCTTGATAACTTTAGTTCATGTGCAGTCTCACTGACATAGGTTAAATATTTACCTATATCTCTCATACATCTCAACATACATCGCTTCTGCTTTTTAAACATATCTTTAAATCTATAAAGTCTCAATCACTTCTACTGCGATACAACTGGCAATCAACATCTTGGACAAAAGTTCTACATTGTTTCCCGAACTTCACTTTCTTCCTCCTCCTCCTCTTTTGCTATTCTGCCCTTCTCCTTCGCTCTTTCATCCATCTCTTTCATGCTCTCTCTTTTCCTTCCTCCCCCGCTCCCCGACACCTGTCGTCTCCCACTCCTCCCCTCTATACTGTGACTGACAGGCCAATTCTAGCCCCAACACACAAAATGGAAAACACTCACCAGCTGCAAGCGCACACACACCGAGACACACAGGATGTGCAAATGCATACACATCTCTTCTCATTCTGACATTGCTTACACACACATGCAGACCTCTCCATCACTTGCAGGACTTGTTATAGATGTGTGTGCATAAGCTGCAGCTGTCATAGTGATAATGTGATACTTAAC